CCGCGAATCTTGATTTACCGCGGCTGTTTCATTTCCCCAAACTCTGCGGTAAATTTGAGTTTTACTGTATACTGTTTGATCCTTTATAAAAACATTTGTCAATTTCTTAATCAGGATCGACCGCCCTCTATAATGTAAATCATTATTCCTTAAGATATGCATTAAAACTGAAAGTGGTATTTAGAATTACTCTGCAAAGGAGGAACAAGTTTCCAAGGAATTTTGTTGCGTATATGATGTGCGAGTATACAATTTTATTAACCGATTGTACGAGATATTATTACGCTAGACTAATTTTCATTAGTTGCGGCACTAGTTCTTGTGAGTTTTGAGAAACTTCTTTCCATTGATATTATTTTACAGCCATTTATAATTATTAATTTCAATACTCACAACTCTCGAAGGAATTTCAGTTTCCACGGATAAATAAAATACACATTGTTTGGTACTGGTCAAAGAAATAAGGATAAAACTCTCTCAGGAAACAAACACTCGCACACAGTGTGAAAAATGTATGTAATTAATAAAAATATGCCCTCAAAAAAAGTTAAAACATTTGATTATAAACTAAATCACAGACCTAGGAACACACAATTCATCACTATTTCAATATTTCATAGTTTGATTTTTTGTTTAAAATTGTGTAGCTCAAAACTTTTTTAATTCAAAACCTCAAAATTGTCTTAAAATAGTCCGGTCCATTGGTGCTCAACATATAAGTTCCTTATTGATTGTGGTGATTGCAAGATTGTGGTGCATCATGGTGCTTCAATACTTCGGGAATGCAGTCTTTTCACAGCTGTTATCCTTGTAGTTGTAAGTCAGAAACTCAATTATAAGTGCCCTGAAATTATTAATGTAAGAATTGTTGTAAAAAACTTATTTTATCATTAATCTTCAGTGTTGCAAATTAACAACTCAATCTTTATACTGCAATCACTGTGATTATCCAAATTCCCCGTAAAGCTGTACGGATTTGTAAAAGATGGATTCTATAACTATTAATAATGTTGGGTCATAAGCCGTTTAATTTGAGTAAGCCCCCGTTGGTTTATAATATTTGAATATTCATGTTTTAGAGTGCCATTACCTGACCTGATTAACGTTGGTTTCTTTGTCCTACCTTGTATGGACGAAGGAACAGCTCCTTCTTGCGCTGTCTGTATGCTACATTAGAATCGTTTACAGCAATAAACCTGCAAATGTCTTTGTTAAATGTGACATTAAAATATATTCTGGATTGTTCTGAGATATTAAGGTTAGAATTTCGTCTCTCCCTCAAAAAAGCTAATGTAAATTCAAAATCACAGATTAGCTAAGATAAAGATACTTTAAAGGATCAATTATTATCTTGGGTATTTGAGAATGATTGTAAACAAACTCAGAAATAGCAGGAAAATTCCCCAACATTAAATCGTCAGTAACACAAGGCTAATCGTTAAGTACTATAAAACGCACAATTATTCGATCAAAAGCTTATCTTACCATCAAGTTACACTTAATAGGTCCGACGGACCTAAGGTCCGTGTTAGTACGCTTGCTGTCATCGAGAAGAATCTGATCCGCTTCATGACGAGAGTTGCTAATAAGCTCAGACATATCTCGTCTGCTTTTATCTTTTTAAGATATTATACGGAGTCTACGTCAACACCTGTGATGGTGAATTGTCGTGAATTTTCACTAGACCACGTGGAGAAATAGCTGATAACAAGAAAAACGCAAGAAAAACGATAGCTAATCGAGAAATAACATTCAAATTATATTATGGGCTCAGCTGCAAAAGGAATTCGTGATACTACGCCAACATAAATGTGTTCGATAATTTTCCTTCGTTCAATATTCCGTTGACTTACGTTTTCATGTTCTTAACTAACTAGGTCGCCATCTTAACCTAGGATCGCACACTTCTTTTTTAATGGGTTAACTGCGTCTCGGAAAGAATTGAACATTGTTACACTAATAGGTTTTTGTGAATGTCAAATATCGATTTAAGTCTACAAATATTTTGCGAAAAGATCTTAACAAGTAAATAAGTAAATAAACAATATTTTTAGGTAACTTACTTTATTGATACTGGTGATTTAGTCTCGCTAGCTCATCATTGTACTTCATTGCTTCAGGAATGTATAGTAGCCTTTTCACAGTTTTTCTTTGTTACTCAATGCACCTTATAAGCACCTGAAATTATCAATGTACAAATTTGTTCCAGTAAAAAAGCGCTTTTTTGAATTATGACATCAATTATAGTCGAATATAAGCGATTTTTTTTTGAACCGTTTATAATCGTAAAAAAATCGATTATAAACGGTTTAAAAAAAAAAAAGCGCCGAGAAAGCGCTCAATAAGCGATTATCGGCGCCGATCATAAAATATCGTTTATGGAAACTTGCCCAACAAAAACCTATTATGTCAATAATATTCAGTGTCACAATGGTGTTACAAAGTTAATTGATTATATAATACCAACATGCTATTTGATATTTCTACTGATTTCGTCCTTATTTTTAACGACCCAATTGTTATACTGTAATCACTTTGCTTTTTCAGACCCAATTAACGACCCAATTGTAATACTGTAATTACTTTGCTTTTTCAGATGCACCATGATATAGATTTGAAGTAGTCGGATTCTATTATAAGTAATGTTGGATCGTGAGCCGTTTAACTTTATTTTGAGAAAGCCCCCGTTGGTCTATAGTATTTAAATATTCATGTTTTAGGGTGCCATTACCTGACCTGATAAACGTTGGTTTCATTGTCTTACCTTGTATGGACGAAGGAACAGCTCCTTCTTGCGGTGGCTGTGTGATACATTAGGATTGTTTACAGCAATAAACCTGGCAAATGTCGTTGTTAAATGTGACATTAAGAGAGATATTAAGGTTAGAATTTCGTCTCTCCCCCAGAAAAGCTAGTGTAAGTTCAAAATCACAGATTAGCTCAGATAAAGATACTTTAAAGGATCAATTCTTATTTTGGGTATTTGAGAATGATTGTGAACAAACTCAGAAATAGCAGAAAAATTCCCCATTAAACATTAAATCGTCAGTAACACAAGGCTAATCATTAAGTACTATAAAACGCACAATTGTTCGATCAAAAGCTTGAGTGTCTTACCATCAACTTACACTTAATAGGTCCGTGTTAGTACACTTGCTGTCGTCGAGAAGAATCTGATCCGCTTCATGACGAGAGTTGCTAATAAACTCCGATATATCTCGTCTGCTTTTATCTTTTTAAGATATACGGAGTCTACGTCAACACCTGTGATGGTGAATTGTTGTGAATTTTTACTCGACCATGTGGAGAAATAGCTGATAACAAGAAAACCGCAAGAAAAACGATAGCTAATCGAGAAATAATATTCAAATTATATCATGGGCTCAGCTGCAAAAGGAATACGTGATGCTACGCCAACATAAAAGTGTTCGATAATTTTCCTTTGTTCAATATTCCGTTAACTTACGTTTTCATGTTCTTAACTTAGGTTGCCATCTTAACATAGAATCGTACGTTTCTTTTTTACTGGGTTAACTGCGTCTCGGAAAGAATTGAACATTGTTACACTAATAGGTTTTCGTGAATGTCAAATATCGATTTAAGTCTACAAATATTTTGCGAAAAGATCTTAACAAGTAAATAAGTAAATAAACAATATTTTTAGGTAACTTACTTTATTGATACTGGTGATTTAGTCTCGCTAGCTCATCATTGTACTTCATTGCTTCAGGAATGTAGCCTTTTTACAGTAATTGTTCTTTGTTACTCAATGCACCTTATAAGCACATGAAATTATCAATGTAAAAATTTGTTCCAGTACAACAAAAACCTATTATGTCAATAATATTCAGTGTCACAATGGTGTTACAAAGTTAATTGATTATATAATACCAACATGCTATTTGATATTTCTACTGATTTCGTCCTTATTTTTAACGACCCAATTGTTATACTGTAATCACTTTGATTTTTCAGACCCAATTAACGACTTAATTGTAATACTGTTATTACTTTGCTTTTTCAGATGCACCATGATATAGATTTGAAGTAGTCGGATTCTATTATAAGTAATGTTGGATCGTGAGCCGTTTAACTTTATTTTGAGAAAGCCCCCGTTGGTCTATAGTATTTAAATATTCATGTTTTAGGGTGCCATTACCTGACCTGATAAACGTTGGTTGCTTTGTCTTACCTTGTATGGACGAAGGAACAGCTCCTTCTTGCGGTGGCTGTGTGATACATTAGGATTGTTTACAGCAATAAACCTGGCAAATGTCGTTGTTAAATGTGACATTAAGAGAGATATTATAAGGTTAGAATTTCGTCTCTCCCCCAAAAAAGCAAGTGTAAGTTCAAAATCACAGATTAGCTCAGATAAAGATACTTTAAAGGATCAATCTAAGATGAGAAGTACGGACTCGTTTAGGGGGAAAAGTACGCACTTGTACGCAACTTTGAAAAGTCCGACTCATACGACGTACGATTAAGATAGAATTAATTTTTTTGTTTTTGAATTATTATCATCGGGGCCGTTGTATAATGTAATTGTTTTTATAATGTAATATGCCGTTCGCGAACAAATTAAACACACAATTCTTAGATCAGGCAGGCATTTAAATTTAAAGGTAAAACAAAAATTACTAGACAATTTACTTGTTCAAACAGCTTGTTTAAAAGCTGTTTTGAAAACGCTCAATATAAGTCCGTAACTTGCGATTTAGAACTCTTCCATTAATTTCTAGAAGGAGAACTTTTCAGAAGAATTAAAAAGTACGTACGATACGAGTAAATTGAAAAGTCCGACTCATTCGTACTTCTCATCTAAGGGATCAATTCTTATTTTGGGTATTTGAGAATGATTGTGAACAAACTCAGAAATATGAGTTTAGATTGAAATTGGCTAATCTCCTCTGAATTGAATACAAATAACACACGTTATTGCCGACGTTTCGCCCCCATGGCTTCTTCAAGGCGGAACAAAAACTTTGTTACATAGTGACCTCAAATTATTTGTTATATAGTAGTGTTGAAAGTATTTTAATACCAACATACTATTTTTGCTGATTTCCTCCTTGTTTCTAACGACCCAACTGTTATACTGTAATCACTTTGCGATTCTAGATGCACAATGATATAGATTTGAAGTATTCGGATTCTAATATAAGTAAGGTTGGATCGTGAGCCGTTTAACTTTATTTTAAGAAAGCCCCCGTTGGTCTATAGTAGGGGGTGCACCATAAAAATAAACTTGCTCGGATTTTAAAAATTTTTGTACCATTGTTTTCTAGAGACTGTGAGAATTTTCACAATACCAAATTTGTCATACCTTTTTGGAAATATCAGTGAGTTTCGCCTAGGTGCCATATTTGATGGTGCGCGGCTTTTGGAGCAAAATTAGCTGTAAAAGTCGCGTAATTTGACCAAATTTGACCTAATTCGTTGATTTTTGTCGTATTATTTGGATATATCTTCAGTTCCTTGAATGAGATCATTCTGAAAATTGGCGACGACCTTCCAATAGGGCTTTCACAACTGTCCGAAAAATTTGGTGGATATCAGAGTTGATATAGTGATCAAAATGGGGCAAAATACGCTGCTTTTAGCTGTAACATAATGTCTGATGGTTGGATCTGCTTTAAACTTTTCGGACACTTTCCTTGTAAGTCTATGAGTAAGCTTACCAATTTTTGTTGCAATCGGAGGTCGGGAAGGATACTTAATATCTATTTGTTTGAAAAAAATTGTGCTGGCCGAAATTAGCGCTAAAAAACCATCCTACAGTCGGCACGCGCGGCTCACTGTCGATGGCGCACTACCTATCTATAGTATTTAAATATTCATGTTTTAGGGTGCCATTACCTGACCTGATAAATGTTGTTTTCTTTGTCTCACCTTGTATGGACGAAGGAACAGCTCCTTCTTGCGGTGTCTGTATGATACATTAGGATCGTTTTACGTTTACAGCAAACTATATTCTGGATTGTTGAGAGATATTAAGGTTAGAATTTCGTCTCTCCCTCAGAAAAGCTAATGTAAATTCAAAATCACAGATTAGCTAAGATAGGGATACTTTAAAGGATCAATTCTTATCGGCAAGTTTCCATAAACGATATTTTATGATCGTCGCCGATAAATTTTATTTTTATATTCGTAAAAAAAGCGATTGTAAACGGTTTTATTTAAAAAAAACGCCGAAAAAGCGCTCAATAAGCGATTATCGGCGACGATCATAAAATATCGTTTATGGAAACTTGCCTTCTTATCTTGGGTATTTGAGAATGATTGTGAACAAACTCAGAAATAGCAGAAAAATTCCCCAACATTAAGTCGTCAGTAACACAAGGCTAATCGCTAAGTGCTATAAAACGAACATTCATTCGATCAAAAGCTTGAGTGTTTTACCATCAACTTACACTTAATAGGTCCGTGTTAGTACACTTAATTGCTGTCGTCGAGAAGAATCTGATCCGCTTCATGACGAGAGTTGCTAATAAGCTCCGATATGACTCGTCTGCTTTTATCTTTTTAAGATATAAGGAGTCTTTGTCAACACCTGTGATGGTGAATTGTTGTGAATTTTTACTCGACCATGTTGAGAATTAGCTGATAACAAGAAAAACGTAAAAAAAAACGATAGCTAATCGAGAAATAACATTCAAATTATATCATGGGCTCAGCTGCAAAATGAATACGTGATGCTACGCCAACATAAAAGTGTTCGATAATTTTCCTTCGTTCAATATTTCGTTGACTTACGTTTTCATGTTCTTAACTAACTAGGTCGCCATCTTAACATAGGATAGTACGCTTCTTTTTTACCGGGTTAACTGCGTCTCGGAAAGAATTGAACATTGTTACACTAATAGGTTTTTGTGAATGTCAAATATCGATTTAAGTCTACAAATATTTTGCGAAAAGATCTTAACAAGTAAATAAGTAAATAAACAATATTTTTAGGTAACTTACTTTATTGATACTGGTGATTTAGTCTCTCTAGCTCATCATTGTACTTCATTGCTTCAGGAATGTAGCCTTTTTACACTTGTTCTTTGTTACTCAATGCACCTTATAAGCACCTGAAATTATCAATGTACAAATTTGTTCCAGTACAACAAAAACCTATTTTATCAATAATATTCAGTGTCACAATGGTGTTACAAAGTTAATTGATTATATTTATATAATACCAACATACTATTTCTGCTGATTTCCTCCTTGTTTCTAACGACCCAATTGTTATACTGTAATCACTTTGCTTTTCCAGATGCACCATAATATAGATTTGAAGTAGTCGGATTCTAATATAATAAGTAATGTTCGATCACGAGCCGTTTAACTTTATTTTGAGAAAGCCCCCGTTGGTCTATAGTATTTAAATATTCATGTTTTAGGGTGATATTACCTGTCCTGATAAACGTTGGTTTCTTTGTCTGACATTGCATGGACGAAGGAACAGCTCCTTCTTGCGGTGTCTGTATGATACATTAGAATCGTTTACAGCAATAAACTTGCAAATGTCTTTGTTAAATGTGACATTAAACTATATTCTGGATTGTTGAGAGATATTAAGGTTAGAATTTCGTCTCTCCCTCAGAAAAGCTAGCGTAAATTCAAAATCACAGATTAGTTAAGATAAAGATACTTTTAAGGATCAATTCTTATCTTGGGTATTTGAGAATGATTGTGAACAAACTCAGAAATAGCAGAAAAATTCCCCATTAAACATTAAATCGTCAGTAACACAAGGCTAATCGCTAAGTGCTATAAAACGCACAATTATTCGATCAAAAGCTTGAGTGTCTTACCATCAACTTACACTCAATAGGTCCGTGTTAGTACACTTGCTGTCGTCGAGAAGAATCTGATCCGCTTCATGACGAGAGTTGCTAATAAGCTCCGATATATCTCGTCTGCTTTTATCTTTTTAAGGTTTGAGGAGTCTACGTCAACACCTGTGATGATGAATTGTTGTGAATTTTTACTCGACCTCGTGGAGAAATAGCTGATATCAAGAAAAACGCAAGAAAAATGATAGCTAATCGAGAAATAACATTCAAATTATATCATGGGCTCAGCTGCAAAATGAATACGTGATGCTACGCCAACATAAAAGTGTTCGATAATTTTCCTTCGTTCAATATTTCGTTGACTTACGTTTTCATGTTCTTAACTAACTAGGTCGCCATCTTAACATAGGATAGTACGCTTCTTTTTTACCGGGTTAACTGCGTCTCGGAAAGAATTGAACATTGTTACACTAATAGGTCTTTGTGAATGTCAAATATCGATTTAAGTCTACAAATATTTTGCGAAAAGATCTTAACAAGTAAATAAGTAAATAAACAATATTTTTAGGTAACTTACTTTATTGATACTGGTGATTTAGTCTCTCTAGCTCATCATTGTACTTCATTGCTTCAGGAATGTAGCCTTTTTACACTTGTTCTTTGTTACTCAATGCACCTTATAAGCACCTGAAATTATCAATGTACAAATTTGTTCCAGTACAACAAAAACCTATTTTATCAATAATATTCAGTGTCACAATGGTGTTACAAAGTTAATTGATTATATTTATATAATACCAACATACTATTTCTGCTGATTTCCTCCTTGTTTCTAACGACCCAATTGTTATACTGTAATCACTTTGCTTTTCCAGATGCACCATAATATAGATTTGAAGTAGTCGGATTATAATATAATAAGTAATGTTCGATCACGAGCCGTTTAACTTTATTTTGAGAAAGCCCCCGTTGGTCTATAGTATTTAAATATTCATGTTTTAGGGTGCTATTACCTGTCCTGATAAACGTTGGTTTCTTTGTCTTACATTGCATGGACGAAGGAACAGCTCCTTCTTGCGGTGTCTGTATGATACATTAGAATCGTTTACAGCAATAAACCTGCAAATGTCTTTGTTAAATGTGACATTAAACTATATTCTGGATTGTTGAGAGATATTAAGGTTAGAATTTCGTCTCTCCCTCAGAAAAGCTAGCGTAAATTCAAAATCACAGATTAGTTAAGATAAAGATACTTTTAAGGATCAATTCTTACCTTGGGTATTTGAGAATGATTGTGAACAAACTCAGAAATAGCAGAAAAATTCCCCATTAAACATTAAATCGTCAGTAACACAAGGCTAATCGCTAAGTGCTATAAAACGCACAATTATTCGATCAAAAGCTTGAGTGTCTTACCATCAACTTACACTCAATAGGTCCGTGTTAGTACACTTGCTGTCGTCGAGAAGAATCTGATCCGCTTCATGACGAGAGTTGCTAATAAGCTCCGATATATCTCGTCTGCTTTTATCTTTTTAAGGTTTGAGGAGTCTACGTCAACACCTGTGATGATGAATTGTTGTGAATTTTTACTCGACCTCGTGGAGAAATAGCTGATATCAAGAAAAACGCAAGAAAAACGATAGCTAATCGAGAAAGAATTGGACATTGTTACACTAATAAGTTTTTCTGAATGTCAAATATCGATTTAAGTCTACAAATATTTTGCGAGAAAATCTTAACAAGTGAATAAGTAAATAAACAATATTTTTAGGTAACTTACTTTATTGATACTGGTGATTTAGTCTCGCTAGCTCATCATTGTACTTCCTTGCTTCAGGAAAACAGCCTTTTCACAGTTGTTCTTTGTTACTCAATTATAAGCACCTGAAATTATCAATGTAAAAATTTGTTCCAGTACAACAAAAACCTATTTTATCAATAATATTCAGTGTCACAATGGTGTTACAAAGTTAATTGATTATATAATACCAACATACTATTTGATATTTCTGCTGATTTCCTCCTTGTTTCTAACGAACCAATTGTTGTCCTGTATTCACTTTGCTATTCCAGATGCAACATGATATAGATTTGAAGTAGTCGGATTCTAATATAAGTAATGTTGGATCGTGAGCCGTTTAACTTTATTTTGAGAATGCCCCCGTTGGTCAGTATTAGAATATTCATGTTTTAGGGTGTCATTACCTGGCCTGCTTCTTTGTCTTACCTTGAGTGATACAAACTCAGAAAATCTGGGAGATGTCTCCGTATTAATATTAAATCGTCAATGACACAAGGCTTATTGCCAGTTTCACAATACGCACAACCATTTGATGATCAAATATTAATCACGCAATGGAATATTAGATGATTGGGATAAAAATCTTGTGTATTTTATTGTCAACTTACATTATAGTTAAGCTTATATTAGTCGTCGAGAATTAGGACCTGATCCGCTTCAATATGATGAGGAATGCCCATAAGCTCCAGGAAATCTCGTCTGCCTTTATACTTATAGTAGTGGACTTCAGAACCTGTGTTGAAGAAAATTGTTGTGAATTTTGCTTGAACATGTGGAGAAGCAGCTGGTATCAGAAAAGCGCAAGAAAACTTTTTAAAATCGAGGAGTAACGTTAAAATGCTATCAGTGGGCTCGGCTGAAAAAAGGGTCAAGATACTGCGCCAAAATAAATTCTTTTAATGATTTTCTTATCCAGTACTACTTCTTTGTTGATTTACATTTAAGACCGTTTTTTACGCAATTTCATGCTCATAACTTTCTCGCGATCCAGGATTACAGACTTTTACATTCGCGCGGTCTTACAGGATATTGGTTCATTTGCAATGAACTCGGTGAACTGAATTTCGAAGAGAATCGAATTATGTTACACTAATAAAGTTTAGTTAATCTTAGATTTACGTCAAAATAAGTATTTCCGGAAGATGTCAAGAATTAAGTATTAGTAAGTAAACAAATTTTGCAGGTCGATAACTTACTTTTTGGATTCTGGTCACTGCAAGACTCTATAAATTCCATATCTTCGTGCAAATCAGTTATAGTGGTCTGGTACTACTCCAGGGATCCTCGTGCTACTCTGTACTCTGTAGTCGAATAGTTAGTCGATTTCTTCATGGTAATGTCTATTATTTATCCTGAAAAGAAGATCAATTAACGCACCGATCTTTATTTTCTGTTGACACTTGCAAATATACCAAGCAAATTGGGGTATGTCGTAAATTAGATATAAATTAAAGTTTTAAATTAAAATTATTATTAATACTAATAGTAACTATGAAATAGATAAATACAATATAAATACTTAAATATTTGAAAGTTTAACTAAAGCCCTCAAAATAGTAGTAGATCATGATATACGTCTATTCATGTTTGTGTAAGCAGATTAGTATTCATAAATTAATGTTGATAATCTAAGAACATACCAAACCATGAGCTCAGTTGAGTTCCGTCTGATGAATTTTGGCTTACTGTCCGTCTCAATAAAGTACGATATGACTACAACGATGTAATCAACCTATAATTTGACATATTATTGGGTTATGCTGTTATATGTGACAGGGAGAGATTTCAGAGTTTAAGCGAAAATAACCAATTTCGTTGACTAAGATAACAATAACATAAGTGTCAAGTACATTAATTATTAGCATAAAATAAGTTCCAAACCTTAGAGGTAGTTTTAAGCATGGAAATAAAAACGTGACATTAAACAAAAGAAATTGATAGAAATTATCAAGGTTTATCGATCAGCATAGATGTAATCTTAGTTTAACCAAATTGATTTACCAATGTGTTATGCAAAAATAGTGCTGCACTAAACAGTAAATTAGTAAAACATTTCACGGCTAAAATATGCAATCATTTTTAGGGAAAATTTAATTATATAGCTTCATTATCCAAATATAAACTCTCAAATTAAACTGTGAGCAAACCTGGTTGGAAGCTGATTAAGATCCATTAGTTATCGCCATCTGTTTATCTTTTAGTCTTGATACAATCGTCATTTTCGGTATACTTCACCTGAAATATGACAAAAACAGTTAATTGATATCAATTTCACTCTAGAAATAAGCTATAAACTTATAAAATACTCATTCTTTTTCCATATTTTATGTAAAATTTGAGTATGATATGTTACATTTATTTGGAGCTATTAGATGAAAACATGAAACTTGTAAGTGAAGTTATCCCTTATTTTTGTCAATTATGGCCATCAGGAATTGGGTTTTCGCGATAAGCATGCAGTCTTACTTACTTTGGTTACTTTGGTTGTGTTTATCCTCGTAGCAGGAAGGGTCATCAGATTTCTGACCACCTCGATGGCGAGTAGTCTACCAGGGAATTAGACCAGCTGCAGCTATAACCGGAAGTCGGAGGGTTGTCCGGTATCAAAGCAATAAACTTGGACAAACTAACTTTAAACGACTCAAACGTAGCTTCAGCTTTAATATTATCAGGCACTTTGTTCCACAGTTTTGGTCCTCTTACAGCAAATGAGCTGTCATAGAGTGTCTGGTTGCTCGAGGAACTCAGCCTAGACAGGGAAGGGATGATTGCTCGGGTACCATGTCTGGATGTTTTTGTGAACCTTATATTGCTGCAATTGGGGACAACATTGTGAAGGATCTTCCACATCATCAGAATAGTGTACCGTTCCCTTCTGCGCTGCAGTGACATTAGCTTTAGATGTGAAAGCCTCTCCCAGTAGTTCATATTTTCCAGACCGCATATACGATCGGTGAATGTTCGCTGGACCCCCTCCAAAAGCTGGATCTCAGTCACCTTAACAGGGTCCCACAGCGGACAACAGTACTCTAGTAGGCTTCTGACCAAAGACTTATATAGGGTAGTCATTACGGTCCTATCACGAGTTTTGAAGACACTAAACACCCATGACAGTGTGCTTCTAGCTTTCTTGACCATATTACCGATCTGTTTGGACCAGTTCAGATCGCTTGATACCATAACTCCGAGGTCTCTAACGTTCTCAACGGGATGTAGTATTTCCTCGCTGGAGACCTTGTAAAGTAGAGTTTCCACGTAAAAAGGAAGTTCAGAAAAGGTACTTTTTCTATTGTGGAGATGATTCAGGAGCTCAAACTTCTGTTCGTGGAGCTTCATGTTGTTGCAGCGTGACCAGTCGAGAATACCGTACAGATCAGCCTGAAGCAGCAGACAGTCCTCAAAGCAATCGATACGTTTGGAGACCCTAGTATCGTCAGCAAAAGAAGCTTACCTTAGAAGAGGTAACAGCTAGCTCTAGATCGTTAATAAACAAAATGAACAATAGTGGTCCTAACACACTTCCCTGAGGGACACCACTTAGAACCCTGGCACTGTCCGAATGAACACCGTTTAGGACTACAACCTGTTCACGGTCAGAGAGAAATGACTGGATCCAGCTTAGAAGTTTGCCGTGAAATCCGTATCTCTTTAACTTTAACAAGAGAAGGTCCAAGTCAACTTTGTCAAACGCCTTGGCAAAGTCGAGGTATATGGAGTCTGTGTCTTTCCCCTGAGTAAACCCTTCAAAGATGTCATCAAAGTGATCGAGCATTTGGGTCAAGCAGCTTCTGTTCGATCTGAAACCATGTTGTTTGTCAGATAACAAATTGTTGGTTTCGAGATGCTGAACCATGTGTTTCCTAACCACTCTTTCATAGACTTTGACTACATGTGAGGTCAGAGTAACCGGTCTGTAGTTAGCAGCATCACACCTGCTACCTTTCTTGAAAAGCGGTGTGACATATCCAGTCTTGTAGAAAGTTGGGACTATGCCTGTATACATGGACTCAGACCAGAGGAGATGAATCGGAACACTCAAGCTTGAAGCACATCTTTTGAGGAGAATAGCAGGAATACCATCGGGTCCGGGTGCAGAGTCCAGCTTAATCTCAGATATAGCTTCCACGATGTGGTTAGGTGTGAGTACCAGTTCTGTATCCCTGCTAGTGAGAGGTGGTACTGTAAATGTAGGTAGTGACTTATCAGGGCAGTTGGGGTCACTAAAGACAGAACAGAACTGTTGCTGCAGTATATTAGCTAACTCTTTCCGTTCAGTCACCAGTTTCTTATCACGGTTTAGAAGAGTTGAAATATTGTGCTTAACTTTAGAAAAATATTTAGCGTATGAGTAAAAGTATTTAGGATTGACTTTAATTTTATCCACTGCTCTCTTTTCACCTTTATCAAGATGGTGGACTATAGCTTCCTTGATCTCATAGCAAATTAATCCAATTTCGTCTTCAAGTTTCTTGATTCGAGCTAGGTCATTGGCACACTTTGCAGCAGAGAGACGGGTTTTAAGTCGTGACTTCTTCCTTCTCAGCGAATTATAAAGCTTCGGCTGGCCAGTTGGTGGTCGTTTCCGAGGAACATTTTCCAGGCATATATTAAGCACTGTCCGTGTAAACTCTGCGGGAAATTCTTCAAAAGTGCTTGCGTCTCTCAAGTCCTTCCAATTCACTCTGTTCAGGATCTCAGTAATCGGTTCGAAGTCTGCCCGATTAAAGTCATCACTTTAAATTTACTTACTTGTGACCCTCGTTAGAAATCCCCTCTAATCCCCCGCAAAAACTTAACGGTCGAGTATATTTGTTTGCTGAGTTTCAAACCGGCGTCTCATAATGTTGACTGCTAAAATTTGTAGAGTTGATTTTAAATTTCAGTGTTCATCCTATACTGGCTTTATATAAAGAAACAAAAGATATCTTAGTTAATAATTATTATATCTGGTTATAACTCCGAAATCATATCATGTCAGTGTTTACAGTGAGCGCGAAGTGCATGGGTACACATTTTTTGCTCTGCAACCGAACGTTTTTTTTTATCTAGACACTTATTTTACTTCGGTGTATTCCAACAGCCACAATGTTACACAAGTGCAACCAGCCAATTACAGGAAGCCGAAGGATCTTTTTGGCCAGTGACGGTTAAGGTAGTGTGTACCATACTTTCTTCGTCCGAGACTTTGCTGCAATGTGCAGCTCCTCATTTAACCCTCACACCCGATTTCTCGAGTATTCGGCTGAGTAGACCGGGGGGCTGCATAGACCACTCATGATCCTTAGCTGAACGTCGACGACGCTCACCCCACGACCAGGCAGTCAGTGGGTTTCGAACTCGCAACCTAACGATTGTAAGACAGGCGTTCTAACCAACTGCGCTACCTGGCCAGGGACAAAAGGAAATCGCGGCATGTACGGAATCGCGATTTTTCCCATTATTTGCGACAAATTTTATGTATAGTTTAATATACCGCGAAATGTAATTCGCGGTATCGCGATTTTTGGCCAAAATCGCCGCGAAATCCTTTTGTCCCTGTACCTGGCTGATAAAAACTTTTTTTAAACATCCTGAAATAAAGATGTTCGGTTAGGGCTATCATCTGATAAAAACTTTTTTAGATTACTCCAATGAATCAGTTGTGGGATATAAAGAAACTTAAAAACGCTTCATTGTGTGTTTTCACACATATTTCACTCTAATGTACACCGTGAACATATCCTACCTGCTAATAGGTATATAGTAAGTTTTTATAATGAGTAGTCTCACCTTGCTTCCCGATTACCACTATCTCGTACACAATAAAGGTATCAATCCTCTCTAGCCTCACCGTATCTCTGTATTTGCAGCTGGATTCAGGTGATAGGATATCAGGTGCTGCTCCCTCTGTGTACACTGTGAGGGTGTAGTCGCTACAGTAGCTGCCACCCTCACAGGTACTACAGTCTCTAATAGAGCAGGTCCAGGTGTAGTGAGGATTACCACTACTACTAAGCCGCATCACTTGTTCAACACAGTGAACCTGGTCTAGTGTTATCTTTAATGTAATGTACTGTGAGCTGGTCACAACACACAAGTCCAAACGCCATCATTTCATTTTTATTATAATAAAAAATCCCCTGGACCTTGAGTATTGTGTATTTAGGACTTTAGGAGACGTGCAGTATGATGGGTTGTACTGCCCGTTACTCACTTTGACTACGGTATGCCCATAACAAGTTTTTTTAACCATTGAAGGAGAGGGACAAATCTTAATATGCTAAACTAATGGTAAGCGCCCATTAAAATAGGATAAACTATGCTCATCCTCATGGGACTCAGTGTCTAAACGGTCAACGTTAGAACTGATATATTACTACTATTGGACACCGCCACACTAGCACCTTTCTTCGCTATTCGACAAGTTGGATTTGAAGCCCAACACCAGTACGACAACTCCACTACGTGCCTCAGTTTCGAAGCACCTCCGTACGCTGTGTACCAGAAGGGAGAGTGGTTCGTCCTAAACACGCCCCGAGAGTGCCCGACTTTCAGACGAGCTATGAAGTGCACCAGAGAGTCCTACATCTCCACTCCCATGGGACTGTTACTGCGCACGAAAGAGAAGAACGTACAACTCGCCTCCCAGAAATCAGCAGCGACAGGCGAACACCAACCACACCGACAAACCACGTCCGAGGTCTCGGCAATCGACATGCCGACCTACCAAATAGTGTTCGTAGAGTGGACTCACCGTTAGTTTCTCCATTATATAATTATAATATACTTAAAGTGAAACTCCTAGTTACAGTATTACCCCCTAGTTACAGTATAACCCCTAGTTAAAGTATAACCCCCTAGTTACTGTAAAACCCCTAGTTACAGTAAAACCCCTAGTTACAGTAAAACCCCTAGTTACAGTATAACCCCTAGTTACAGTAAAACCCCTAGTTACAGTAAAACCCCTAGTTACAGTAAAACCCCTAGTTACAGTATAACCCCTAGTTACAGTAAAACCCCTAGTTACAGTAAAACCCCCTTGTTACAGTATAACCCCTAGTTAAAGTATAACCACTAGTTACAGTAAAACTCCTAGTTACTGTAAAACCCCTAGTTACTGTATTACCCCTAGTGACAGTAAAACCCCTAGTTACAGTATAACCCCTAGTTACTGTATATATAACCCCTAAGCCCCTAGTTACAGTAAAACCCCTAGTTACAGTAAAACCCCAAGTTACAGTATAACCCCTAGTTACAGTATAACCCCTAGTTAAAGTATAACCCCTAGTTACAGTAAAACCCCTAGTTACAGTAAAACCCCTAGTTACAGTAAAACCCCTAGTTACAGTATAACCCCTAGTTACTGTATAACCCCTAGTTACTGTATAACCCCTAGTTACAGTATAACCCCTAGTTACAGTAAAACCCCTAGTTACAGTAAAACCCCTAGTTACAGTCTAACCCCTAGATATGGTATAACCCCCTAGTTACAGTAAAACCCCTAGTTACAGTAAAACCCCTAGTTACAGTAAAACCCCCTTGTTACAGTATAATCCCTAGTAATAGTGAAACCCCTAGTTACAGTTAAACTCCTAGTTACTGTATAACCCCTAGTTACTGTATTACCCCTAGTTACAGTAAAACCCCTAGTTACAGTATAACCCCTAGTTACTGTATATATAACCCCTAAGCCCCTAGTTACAGTAAAACCCCTAGTTACAGTAAAACTTAAAGTTACAGTATAACCCCTAGTTACAGTATAACCCCTAGTTAAAGTATAACCCCCAGTTACAGTAAAACCCCTAGTTACAGTAAAACCCCTAGTTACAGTATAACCCCCAGTTACAGTAAAACCCCTAGTTACAGTATAACCCCTAGTTACTGTATAACCCCTAGTTACAGTTTAACCCCTAGTTACAGTATAACCCCTAGTTACAGTAAAACCCCTAGTTACAGTAAAACCCCTAGTTACAGTCTAACCCCTAGATATGGTATAACCCCCTTGTTACAGTATAATCCCTAGTAATAGTGAAACCCCTAGTTACAGTTAAACTCCTAGTTACTGTATAACCCCTAGTTACTGTATTACCCCTAGTTACAGTAAAACCCCTAGTTACAGTATAACCCCTAGTTACTGTATATATAACCCCTAAGCCCCTAGTTACAGTAAAACCCCTAGTTACAGTAAAACTTAAAGTTACAGTATAACCCCTAGTTACAGTATAACCCCTAGTTAAAGTATAACCCCCAGTTACAGTAAAACCCCTAGTTACAGTAAAACCCCTAGTTACAGTATAACCCCTAGTTACTGTATAACCCCTAGTTACAGTTTAACCCCTAGTTACAGTATAACCCCTAGTCACAGTAAAACCCCTAGTTACAGTAAAACCCCTAGTTACAGTAAAACCCCTAGTTACAGTAAAACCCCTAGTTACAGTAAAACCCCTAGTTACAGTATAACCCCTAGTTACAGTAAAACCCCTAGTTACAGTATAACCCCTAGTTACAGTAAAACCCCTAGTTACAGTAAAACCCCTAGTTACTGTATAACCCCTAGTTACAGTATAACCCCTAGTTACAGTAAAACCCCTAGTCACAGTAAAACCCTTAGTTACAGTATAACCCCTAGTTACAATATAACCCCTAGTTACAGTATAACCCCTAGTTACAGTAAACCCTGATATACAGTATAACCCCTAGTTACAGTATAACCCCTAGTTACAGTATAACCCCTAGTTACAGTATAACCCCTAGTTACAGTATAACCCCTAGTTACAGTATAACCCCTTGTAAGTATCCCAGGCCCGGAGCTATGCTAAGTTAAAGTCCATATTAAATCATGGAACTTTCCAGTATTAGCCACATTAGTCCAGACAGGACTTACAGTTATTTTCCAGCCCTGCTTTTAGTCGGCTTTCTCTTTGGTAATGGATGTTTCGGCAACCCTGTACGGTAAATTGTAATGTTACACATTGCACCAGTCCAGCGGAGCGCCACGAAGCTCATTAAAACATCCCCAGTGCAAACCCCAATTACCAGCAGTATTAAGAAAGCCGGCTTGAGCCTGATGCTAATTCACCTTAGCCAATCAGATCACGCTAACAGCCCTCCTAGAACTGGTCCCAGAAACACGTTGACAGAAATTTCGATTTAAAAAGTTTTGACAAACAAATTTCCTGGGATCAGGGCAAGCCACTGTTGCCACTTCCAGGCACAAATCTGCTAAAAGATTTCAACACAAATTTTAAGGCCTGGGAAGTCTAGAATCCAAAATTCCGGTGCTGACCGGAATCAGAGAATTTTGACTCAGTAGCCGACGGACAGTTTTTAGTTCGGAGGATTTTGTTCACCTTCTCATCATCATTTTGGACGTTTCCCCGTCACAGTTATGGTAACTCAGCGTCCCAAGCTGGAACCATAACTTATAACTTTTAAAAATCATCCCCTTATCCATTTTATGGTTTATCTACCTAGACCTTCCAATTGCTAGGTAATAAACCCCTAAAGTCTAAGCCTCATCATCCTCATCCCTTACTCACCAGTATGTTGTAAATTATTACTTGTTTAGTGATTTTATCCACCTCACAATTCCTTCCGGACGTTTCCCCGTCACAGTTATGGTAACTCAGCGTCCCAAGCTGGAACCATAACTTATAACTTTTAAAAATCATCCCCTTATCCATTTTATGGTTTATCTACCTAGACCTTCCAATTGCTAGGTAATAAACCCCTAAAGTCTAAGCCTCATCATCCTCATCCCTTACTCACCAGTATGTTGTAAATTATTACTTGTTTAGTGATTTTATCCACCTCACAATTCCTTCCGGACGTTTCCCCGTCACAGTTATGGTAACTCAGCGTCCCAAGCTGGAACCATAACTTATAACTTTGAAAAGTCATCCCCTTATCCATTTTATGGTTTATCTACCTAGATCCTCCAATTGCTAGGTAATAAACCCCAAAAGTCTAAGCCTCACCATCTCCATCCTTAATCACAAGCATGTTATAATGCATCGTCACCACCGTTTTAGTTTTACCTTCTATCGGGTGATCAACTTTATTATTATTTATTTTGTTTGTCGATGTTTATACAACTATTTGAATCCTTACCATTTGACGTTAGTGTCACCTTTATCCAAGCTTTTTACTAGTACCCAAAAAGCCAACTTGAAATTAAGGCCAAATCAACACTCGCTATGAGCAACTAGTAAATATTCAGCACTTCCTAAGCCATACGGACGGCTTTACTATGCTTGCATTAAGACTATAATCCTGGCAGGACATTGAACTCCGTGACCTAGCTAACTGCACGAGCTTAAGATAGGCCATATAAATCATGTGCTAACCAGGCACCTTATTGGTTTATTGGCGGTCCTCCTGGCATAAGGACCTGGAGCCATAATATAAATTCTATCCGCCGCAAGCTCGTGCCTTGTATCGGTCTGCTCTTTATTCGTCTTGGTGCCGATTAATCATGATCCGATCCGGACCTCTCCCTCCTCTTGGACTCAACTTCACCTCAGGTAATGTACCCTTTCTTTGTTTTAAATACATCTGAATGAATTGTAAAACAATGCCTCTAAGTAAACTAGGTTTCCCGATCGATGACCATCCCGTTACTTAGCACCTTAGTATTTCTCTAACATATAGCCCAAGGCTTAAAAGGCGGCCCTTACACCCCTAGTTACAGTAAACCCTGATATACAGTATAACCCCTAGTTACAGTAAAATCCCTAGTTACAGTAAAACCCCTAGTTACAGTATAACCCCTAGTTACAGTAAAACCCCTAGTTACAGTATAACCCCTAGTTACAGTATAACCCCTAGTTACAGTAAACCCTGATATACAGTTAAACCCCTAGTTACAGTCAGTGGCGTAACGTTACTTTTTGGCGCCCCCCCGCTCAACTCAAAAAGCGCCCCCCTTTCTGGAGCGCGCTCGCTTCGCTCGCTAGATTTGTCCGAGGGCCGTTGCCATCACAATTTTTTTAATTTTAAAACGGAATATAAATGTGTGCCAAT